GCAGGCCGAGCGACAGATGAAACGTCCACACGAACTCTGGCGCGAAGAGTTCGAGGGACCACACGCGTATTTGTCAATGGCGCAGTAATGAGTATTCCATGTTGTTAAGAGATGTATGGCCGGGCGCCGTGGATGGGACAGAATTGTCAGGGAGTGGACAGTTCCTGAATGAGCAGGAGGAATTCACTCAAGGTCATAATAATTGGTTATTTAGCGTTACTGTATCAATTGCCAGTATACTAATGCTGAGTGACATGCGATCGATGTGGACGTGTGTGCTGGGGATCGATCGGGAAGGAAGCTGAGTGATGCCTGTATGTAACATTGCTCAAAGAATCAGCAACGTTTTTTGCTCACAGGGTGTACTTATGGTTTCGCATTGTGTCACTGTAAACAGCGATTATTTTCCTAAACAGCGTTAGACAATTAACCTTTGTAATGGAGACGCGGTGTGTTTTCTTTGAGGTACGGACTGGATGTTTAAATATTTAGGCGATGATCTCTTCATGAATTCTAGCTAAAAGGGCAAATCAATTTGATTTATGTTCACTAAAATGTTTTAGTAACTGATTTTCTTCTGTTCGGAGGTATTAATTTCGTGGTCTAGCGGTTAGAACGCTGGCCTTGTAATCCTGGGGCCTCGGGTTCGATTCCCGGCGGTGCCCGAACTTATAACTTGTGTTGGGCAAGGCCGTGGTCTAGGCAACACGGAGTTTTCCTCCGTGGCATCCCAACAATTACTCCATTCACACACAGAAGAAGGCAATGGCAAACCACTTCTGGATCATCTGCCAAGAACGTATATGAACAGGTCCCAGTCCGAGAAAAGGATGGAAGGATCCTGTTCATATGGACCTGTCGTCAGACAGAACACTAAATAAAATAAATTGGCTAATGCTGTTTAAGAAAATTATAGCTGTTTATTCCGAGAATCACGCGGATTTCATAAATGCGTTTTTGGCAAAGGGCAGATAACGAAGTTATTATTTATTTTAATGTGTATCAAAGAGATGGCGTTCAGGAAGCACTAATTGTGCACCCTCGTTTGCCTAATGTAAAATGGATTGACTGTTGTGAAAGGCGGGCATAAACCATCCATCCATGACCTGCGTGCTGGACAGTTGACCTCTGCGTCGGCTTGTATGCTCTCGAAACAGAAGCGCGGGCCGTTAAACTGCACTGTCCCCCGTCTAATTGGTGCAAATAGGCGTTTAAACTTGCATCTAAATTTACAACCGCGGCTCGGACGCTAAATGAAGTGGACCGACCGAGCGTAAGAGCCGTGCAAGCGAACACGTACAGATGAGTTTAATTCGGGAGTCGCCCCTTCCCCCTCAGCTGTCTTTAAGCTAAAATAAGCTGCCGGCGATGTATTTTTAGTACCACAGAATCAAAAACAGGATCCCTCATGTCTATTCTCACATTCCTTTGTCAGCTGACTGCTCCATCCAACAAATGATGCGTCACATTTTCTAATGAAAGAGTTCACACAAGTGGCCATTTGACTAATAGGTTAACAAATGTCGTTAACAAATGTAGCTGATTGTAAGGAATTGTAAAAAAAATGTTGTAACGTTTCTAATTGCTCTCTGATTTACAGCTCTGGCCAACGTTCCGCCTTGTCTAAACAGAATATTCTTCCAAAATAAACCAAGCTTAAAGTCAGGAATTCTTTAACAAGATAAGCAACTAGTGGAATGATAAACCAAATATAATCGCGGGGTATTAACCAGAAAACCTGAATGAGTGGGAGGGAATTCCAGCTTACGTTCCTAACCTAACCTGTCAACGCGTGCTTTCGCCCCCCAGTGGACTTCAAAATATCGGTACTTGGACACTTCTCGCTGGTGCCCTAACGACAGCTCGTGTGTGTGCTCAGCTTTTGTGAATGAATGAAAGTTTTCATTAATTGACTGTGTTTATTAACCTGTCTGTTTGTTAAGAACACAGCGGAAGGAAGACGCGTCTGTGCTATTCGAATAAAAATCCTGTTAACTGCTCGTTCGTAGCTGTGTATTTTGAGGTAAATGAATCATTTGATTATATCTATGCCATTTCTATTTTAATGCAATAATAAAATGAAAAATTCGCTTATTTTAAGACAGAAAACTATTATTAGCGCAAAGTTACCTTCAGATATTTGTAAGAACTTAATATATTTCAGCCGCGTTCTTTTGCACAGTTCTATCCAAGAACGATGTTTCGCCGGCTCGCCGCGTGCGTCTTCTGCGTCTTCAACGCCGGAGCCTGCAAGTATTGTCAATGAAGATTCTTCTTGAAAATGTCGGCTGCTCCTATCCGAATCGCTGTGATGTCGAGTCTAATATCGCTCGTTAGCAACGTCAGATTAGCTGACACCTCAGGCACGTGTATGTAGCCTATTGGGATCCACTACGGAAGCTGCAAACGCCATGGAAGCTGATGTGGCCTCGGCTGTTGCTTGGAGGGTGTCTGGAAAGCACAGAAAATTCTAGTCAGGATGACCCGTAGCCGGGGACCTCCCAAATTCTAAACAGAAGTGCCATTCACTCGGATGAGACGTCAGACGCACTTTCTCAGGCAGATACCGACGTTTCGGAGATGCCAGACCAGAGGACCGACATAAATTTAAATTATTCTCACCGACGTGAGAACCTTAACTTTTACATATTCATTCAAGTTACATTTTTTCCCAATAATGATGGAACAGGCATTACGTATTAATAAATACACCATTTTCATGAAAGCAGCGACATTTTATCTCGTAAGTGAAGGTGACGCTGGCCTTGTAATCCTGGTGTCTCGGGTTCGATTCCCGGCGGTGCCCCGAATTTATAACTTGTGTTGGGCAAGGCCG